CATCAAGTAATGTTGCTTCTACTGCCATGTTTCCCCCCTCACTGACTCGAGGCGAAAAATCCGAAGTACGGCAACGCCAGTTCAGTACGGGAACCAAACTAATTTTGTGTTCCGCAGGCAAAAATACACTATGTCTTGTCTCCCAGTAAGTACATTCTAGTACGTTTAGAAGGCTAGGGGAAATTAGGGGGGACAAAGATGGTGCTCAAATACCTGCAGTCAGTACAATGAACTTACCTACTTGTATCATGGTCGATGTACTTCTGCGTGGTATTTCTGTGCTCCTGTTCCGAATTTGTCTGCTGCTCGCTTTTGCTATTCATTTTTCAGGTTTAACCAACCAGCCCTTCATCTATATGGAATCCTAGTAGTTTAACTTGGTCAGCGCGCACTATGCCATCTAGACCTGATGACGAAAGCATAAAACCCAGGTTCACAGCTGTACTACCCGCCCTACCTTCAAGAATATTGGGAGATTCAAGCGATAGCGGAGTATTTCCTGCTTTCGAACTGAGCTTGCCTCAGTATGATGGACAGTTATGCTGGTGTTTGTCTGTTCCATTCTTTGCTGTCTGCAAAGCATTAACCTTCTTACTCTAGACGCATCTTTTATGTACCGGAAAGAACGGCTTCCATTGTATAGCTTCATATTGTATATAACAGTCAGTTCACATTACCAAAATGATCAGACCTGTAAACTGGTTTGTTTTCATGTAACTTATGTTGTATGAAATATATTAATATTATCATTACCAACACCGTATTTTTAACCTAGTTTAACGGAGGTGCATGTCATGGATATGGAACTCCCTGCAGGGTAAAAGCTCTGGAGAAAAGTGACTATCTGTGTAAGCTCCCGTTTAAGAGCAACAGTAGTGAGAGATTCAGCTGTAATCTAGATCCCGGAATTTGTATGTTGCCATTTCGCCATTCATCGCACAAGATACGTGTCGGGGGCAAGACATAGATCCCTACCAGTATTTCAGGCGAAAAGAAAACGGTTACCAAAGCTGTTTTGTCTACGAGCTCCGTAATTGCCATCCCATAATCATCACCGGAAGCTTCAGCATGCTATCCGCACGTTTCAAAACAAAGGGGCACCTGTGACAGGTCTTTAAGTCATAGACTGAGAAGTGTCTAGAAGATCCGCCCCCCCAGAAAAGCAGACAGTTAAACGTTGACAGCCTGATGGTAATGAACAAACGATCACTCCTGTTGAGAGCACATATGCTCAGCAGCCCTTAATCCACCGCGGTCAGGTTGCGATAACATTTTCCACGACAGCTGTGGGGACTATGTATTCACAGGCACTGAACACCCTTGTGAACACAGGTCGTCTGTGAGATCATGACAGGTTACTTTACGGATGCCTGGAGGCTCACACCATTTCGCAGTGGATGAACTCTAGACATAGGTGAAGGGAGCAAACTTTGAGGCCATTACAGCCAGAATATGTTAGAGGCAACACACCGGCCATTAGAGAGAACCTCGTGGGTGAAGCGCGGATAAAGAGGTTGCCTCGGCTGAGCAGACCTGTTTCTAGTGGCGTCCACAACACAGAGTCCAATTTCCTGGTTTGCAGAAGGATAAGCAACTGGTTCAACGTAAGAAGCCATAGCAACGTGCATGGCTCCAGTGAAACCCGAAAATAAAGTTACAGAACAACCCTTAAACTCTTCAACGCATCACTTCACAAAGGAAATCGACTACCGAAGGAATCAGTCCTTTGATAGGTCCCAGCGAAGTGGCACTAGGCGGTCTAAGAATCTCAGGGAGCAGCTCAGCCCTTCAGACGTGAAATACACACGATGCAAAGCGACACCGTGCAAGCAATGTGAATGAACACTCTTTCACATCTCTATAGCAGAAAGTGTTGGAAAAACTGTATAAGCTCTGCCATTCAGGACTCCTGGTTGTGACGACCCGAAACCCATAATCCCAAAACACTTGCCCGAAGCACTTGCGAAACCGATCTGTGGACTCTTCAAGAATTCGCTGGAGTCATATAGGGTCCCTAAAGAAAGGGGAGGCACCATCTCGTCACTTAATTTCAGAGAAAGAGACAGAAGAAACCCTGTCTGTTATGGACTGATAGTCCCACTCTTATACTACGCAGTACGCTGGAAAGCCTGATGACAGACGAGACCCGGGAGTTCCTTAACAAGAAAAGTGCAGTTCATGCTGCTCAACACGGCCTTTGGAGTGGCAGTTTGTATGTCACCAACTTTCCGATTGAATAAATTTTGGAGGAACGTGAAGAAAGAAGCTGACTATGGAATGCTACAGCACAACCTGCAGTAACTAGTACTCTGGTCGTTGAAGAACGACTTGGCCTTCAACCCTGGAAGGTGTAAAGTAAAACACTTCAGGACCCAAGAGGCAAGCACAAATTCTCAGAGGCCCGAGACACCAACTCAGGCTCTAAGGGAACGGCACCCAACGTGAAGGTCACTGCGCTTCTTGCATACCCAAGCTGTTTCTGAATGATTTCAAATCCTGTTTGCGGCCACATCTAGGAGTCTTCAAAACTATTGGACTCCTGACACTTAAGAGAGACTCTAACCTCCCAAAGACAATGTTAAGGTATGCGACGAAATCAGTTTTTCAACTGGGGAGAAGACGCACTCCGACAGACAGAGGTACCTCAACCTATTCCTTTTGAGCTATCTCAAGATGAGAAGTAATCTTATTTTAGCCTACAAGGTCATCCACCGGTTGAGTCACACGAACGAAGTAACCTTACCTGCAGCATGGAGGTCATCACGAGAGAACCCCATCAATCTAGAGCATCAGAGGTACGATATCAGGCTCAGGTCAAACTTCTTTCTGTTAGCGAATGTGCCCTATGAAATATTTTATCGCGAGTAGTTGGGGCTCCCTCCCACTGAACTCATCCAAAAGAAGACCACAGGATTACGTTAGTTCGCATGACTTATCTGAGATGTACACAGTACAATACCGACACCATTAACCCATTGCTACTTACTGCCCACCTTCTTTTTCTTATGGTACACCTACATTGCCTTCTTGCCCCTCTCTAGTGACTAGACTCATGCTACCTACTTTCGCCTTCGGAAACCTCCTACATACCTTTTCTTATTATCTCTGTATACCTATTCAGACATCTATACAGGCAGGAATCACGAAAGTTGCCTAATCTTCCCGGCTACCCACAGCTTCTCGACCAACTCAACCTACAAACTGCAAACTCGACCCCCAAAAGCATTCGTTCCACCGGAGGTAGAAAACAGGATAGATTCTCTTGCCTGCTACGGAAGAAAACAGAATAGCGAGAACCAAGTCACAAGAACTAGGAGGGTGAGGCTCGCCAAATTAGCAAAAATGGGTATCACTGAACCACCCTAAGCATGGCTTACAGTATACCCAGAGGGCAGAGAATTCTGCACTAAAGTAAACAGAATTCGATCGACTTAGATGAAAGCAAGAACGGGATTTTCTCGAGGAGCAATCCCTGGACCACTCCTATTTTAACTATTCATAAAGGACCTCACCACTAAAATCTCCTCATGTATCCTCCTATTCCCCGACGACATCGAAATGTGGAGGACGACAGGCGACCAAGAGGATCCTAGGATATTCCAAAACGACCTGTTGTAGCTGGGGTCCTGGTCAGCTGCGAACGGTTTGGGCCTTAATTTGGAGAGATGGGGGGTTACGTATCTTCGCACACTAGAGGAGACGAAAATCAACTACACACTTAACAAGAGTGCAGTCACTAAGATATCTACAGAGAAGGACCTAAGACTAAATGTTTCTGACACTTTGGATACTACCAGTATTTACAAGCGAATGGCAGCGAAGGTGAACACCATTATGTACTTTCTAAGAAAGCAACTTGGATTGTTAACCCCAAAGTTATTCCTCATGGTATTCAAAACCTACGTTAGACCACACTTAGAGGTGTTCAGCACGATAGCCCCTCCACTACTAAAGAGAGATGCAAATTCTCCCGAGAAGGTGCAAAGAAGAGCAACAAAGTTGGTCGTTGGACCAACATGCAAAACATATGCTCAAAGCCTCAGACAACTCAACCTGTTCACACTAAGCTATCGGAGCAAATGAGGTGACCTAATAACAGCCTACAAGATCATTCACCAAGCGGGCCACTCAAATGAGACAACATTATCGGTCCAAAACCGACAATCCCATGGGCACCCCACTAGCATACCCCACCACAAGGCAAAGGCTAGAGTGAGATCTAACTTCTCCCAAAGAGTGTGTACCTTATGGAACCCGGTGCCGAAAGAAGTGGCCACAGCTAATTCAGTCAACTCTTTCAAACGACCATTGGATGAGTATGAGGGCGCAAATGGCTTACCACAAACATTTGTTAGTAGCAGTTAATGATACGTCCTTCCATCCCTGTACTCCCCAGCCCTAGTATCTGCAGTAAGACGCAACTCTCCTCTACATTATCATCAGTCACATTTGTCTTTTCAAAAGTACTTTTCACTTCTCTTTTTCTCATTCCCCACTCACCCCGTTTCTACCATTTTTTTAGTAACGCTTAACACTTACTTGCAGGTGCCTGCAACAACAGGAATTGCGAACGGTTGATTGACCTTATCAGCAGCTCCGTTACCCCCCCCCCTCCTAAACAAACCAAGCTACAATTTGTAAATAAAACACCTTCAAATAGACTAACACTACCTCCAAAACCATAAGCAGGAAAACGCAAAGACTTCCATGACCATCGAAGGAGAACGACCGGACAAAAAGAACCAAGTCTCAAGACCTAGAAGCGAGGGCTGAAAAACTGCAAGTTTCCTCTACTCGCACTACTGACGTTGGATCTTGGAACCTTCATTATAGTGAACTCTAAGGAAATACACTTTGGATTTTACTTGTAAGGCTTCTGCACTAGTGTTCATTTTTTAAATTAAAGCACCTGATTTTATTGAGATGTAAAAGTCCGGGGTTTTTGCAGCAATAAGTCTTAAAGTATTTTGAAATCCTTGTTTTTTTAATAAGCTAACATTCAAGGCTTTTTCCGCAGCCATCACACCATGACTCACAGTTGAAATATTTTGTGATTAGTCGTGTCCTTATCTACGTCTTTAACATTCCTAGCTTACATTATTCTAAGACCAGTAAAACAAAAGTTCCAGAGTATTTGTGCCCTGAACTCGTTGATTGCGCTTGTACATGAATGGCTGTTACGCCTTTTCTAAATTTGCGCAACTTAGTTTTGAATAAATGCAATAATTTTCTTCTCCCAGGTGAGTGATATATTCGTTATGACACTTTTGTTTCTATTAACTGTTGATTTCCATAAAGTGCGAAGTTTTTTAGTTTACTAACTTCTGTCTATATAGACATGCTTAAATATGTAGGCTTACTTACATATAGTAGGATCATCTATTGTATTTCCCCTCGAACATAAACTCATCAGCTTGATACATTCGGGATATTTATGTTACAACACTGTCTCATTTACATTGAGGCATCCTGAATATGACCTATTATCACTGTCCATGGAAAATGACTTCGGTTATCTAACCGGTTAGGGCAACGTAGTTGAGTATATTGGTGCGAATACGACATCCACTTGATTCCAAGTTGGCTGTGATTTGTATCAGTTTGCACGCAGTTATTGTGGATTAAATACAGCATATCATTGTGAACAGTTTTGTGCAGCGTGTTTATGAACTAAAAGATAAATGTAATATTTGTTTTTACCTAGATTTAAACATGGTTAGGTCACTGAAAATCACCATGAAATAAAGTGAGCTTTGAAGTTTTTCAGGAAAGTAATTCACTTTCCTCATCGCTAATTAAAGCAATGTTATTCTCATTACAATCAGATCGCTTAAATGTTATCTTATAAGTCTGTTGATCCTTTTAATGAGTTGCAAATAAACCCTGGTATTCATTCTTTCACCATGTACATTTATTATTACTAAGAAATCAAACGAAGCATCATGGTCTATCGCCTTTCCAAACAGCCATTAGAAAACCAAACATTTTGTTAATGCTCTGCATTACTCCCAGTTGGAACCACTTATTACTGAAACACCTGCAGAATGCTAGTTAATAGCTATATTACTTATACTATCATGTTCTTCTGAAGTTGTAACCAATGACTTTTATTCTAATAAGGCTTACACAAATAGCTTCTAACCAGCATTTTCCACACTGCTGAAAGTACCGAGTGTATCAGGAGCAGTGCATCCGTTATGTTGTTAACTAGATTTATGTTCATCACCAGGAAAGTTGATAGAATACGACCTATGTTACGTAATGCAAAATGTGGCAAAAGCATACATAGGAGATGTATTGAAAAAGAAGGTTGTCTATCGACTGGAATATGATGTTTCATGTTCGTTAAATTGCAGGTGGAAAATAAATTCATAAACAGCAACCCACTAGGTAGTGAGTGACACGTATTATGAAAAATAATAATGGTACTACCTCACAAACTAAATGCTCAAACCAAAAAGCCACAACTTCATCTATATGGTACCTGTTCATGTGATGACTCAGAAATGATCATCGTATTCCATAGGTGTTCATACCTGGTGTCAGTTAGTCAAAATCAACATTTTACTCGGTGTTAATGTGGATAGCTTACTGTTGCAACAGCATATATCATATTTGTACACACGAGGACATAAAAAAAGATACGGAAAAAGGCAGGAAAAATACTGACGGTCGCAAAATGTCATAAGAAACGGGAGGAAGGAACAAGGTAGGACCATTAGTGAAATACAATGTAACAATACGATTGCACCTACACCACTGACCGATTTTGCCGGTATCATCTGGAACTTCCAACCGTCGCCTTCGGCTGTCCAGTAGACCCCTACCTAAAAGTGTACATTCCCCTACATAACTCACACCAACAATCAGAGAATTCATGACGACCCCACGCTCCAATCAGACAACAGTTGACCTCATCCCAGTTTGAACCTACTTCAGCTAACATGCCACATCAACCAAATGATGACTGGACATGCCCACCATGTGACCGAACCACTTGAGTTGATGAAGTCTTACAACCCAGTCAACCAGGTTGCCTATGCACCAGACTACACCCAACCTGTATGTTCGTCACACAGTGGTTTGACGACATGTGTGTAGTGATTGCGATATAAGAACGGTTGAACAACTGGAGTCTTCTTGTATCTTCTTTCCCAAATGATCATGTTTGATGAACGCAGTGTAACAAACAGTTCTACGTGATGTGGAATGAATGTTGTCGACCCTTAGTAAGCAATCCGAATAATGATACTCAATATAGATGGTGCGATTTGGCAGGATTCAATGAAAGTCTTCGTATCTGTGCAGACATTTCGTGGTCTACCTAGATATGAGTGCTGATATGACTTGACAAATACTTGGGGTGGTCAACGCACTGAACCATTTCACCGTATACTGTCTGACGAGATATCAACGTAGGTTTGCCTAAAATCAGTGAAGTGGATTTTGATGATGATGTTGTCCATCCGCAAGTGGACTTGTTCAGAAGACTACGTATCTTGCTAGCATTGTTATATTACAAGTTTACATAGTTTACGTACACTCACAGAATAGGCATGGAGCATTGCCTTGTGCATGAATATAGACAAGATTGCTGAGTGCTTTTCGATTTCGGTTCGAACCCATTAATGGGTGTCTTGCGACAGTCTAAATTTTTCTAGTCAGACGAGGAGAGAGAGAGAGAGAGAGAGGTCTCCATAGACACATGTATGATAAATTGAGCAGATATGCGTGACAGAAACTACTTGACTTAGACAGTTTATGTGATGGTTTCATTGTGGTCTTTAGCGTTGTGCGTGTATAGGTTTCAGTAGTGTGACGTGCTTACCGAGCATCTGTTTCATTGAGTATGATGATAATGTAATAGTTGTTAGTGGATGGTCTGAATGTCACCTTCAGATGAAGAAGTACATCTATTTTAAGTGTGTCTGTGTTGTGGAGGTTGAAGACGTGTTCAATAAACCTGAGTTCAGATGTGATTCGGGTTTTGTTTTCGCATGTTTTTAAAAATTGTGAAGTTTCACTTAAGTGCACTGTTATAGTCGAACCTGGAATCTGAGATATCATGTTTGTCAGAGTGATTTGTGTGTGGTTGTATCAGAAGGGGATTTCTTAGCTGTTTGGGAAAATGTGACAAATGGTGTATGAACTCAGACACACTGAACTGCATCTAATTCCCATACATGGTAGTTTAATTTTACTCGTTTCCCTTTGCTGGTTGCTTCCTATACCCGATTTTAGTTAATTTTTCTTGACCACCAGTTTTGCTGTTTGCACTCTTTGTTATCCCTTTGATTATTTCCAACTGTACTTTAGGCTTTGTGACCTAAATAATATTGTCAGATCCAACATATCTTGTTACATTTAGCAGCAAATGAAGAATCTTTCAACATGAAAAGGTCAAACCAGACCATAAGCTATTGATCATTCACCTCAATCCCAGTAAACTGACTGGTTTTTAAGGGAGAATACAGTGGTCACAAGTAATACAATCTGATTATCTTGTAAAAATAAGATAAATATATTTAAATAATCTAAGCATTAGTAAGTGGTTTATAAACTGAATATATTTTTAAGATCGTAATAAAATATAAAATTAAATGTGGCCTTTTGTGACCTCGTCGGGACCTCTTTGGGGAACGAGATTGGTCGTAGTTGTCTCATCACGACTTCAAATGTATGACAGGCAAAATCACAAGGACTTTGCACATACGTGTAACAGTTCAAGTTGCCACACTTCATATTAGTGTGCAAAGAACAAGTGGATAGAAAAGAGTTATATCAATGTAGACAAATGTGTTTCCTAGGAAAAAGAATTTGAAAATAAAGTTTAGTAAATATTTCAAGCTTTAGAAGACGTCGAATAGTGAATACATCTGCGCCATTGTGACCGATTTTCAGCCATGTCACCAAAAGTCTCCAACCATTCATTCCTATTGTCTCTCGTGTCCCAACTAGACAGTCTACACCTCCCCATACGGCTCAGGACAATAGTCAGAAACTTCATCGACTTGTGCCACGTCTTGCTCGCACCACTCTTAATCGTCTTTCAACTTAATCCGGCTTCCCCTAGCATTTCACATCGAGGTAAGCGGTGGTTTGGCATGAACAGTACATGTTCAAGCCACTTTCAAATCTATATCCTGTTTATAAGTCCCACTGTAATTAGTTATCGGCCACTCTTATGTCTATTGAAAGGTCTCATAGGTTATGACCTGATGAATATAGCTTTGTACAATCATAATAGTGTAATGATTGGACATCTGTTGCTTTCTCTGCAATAGAAAACTTGAGACAAATAAAAGAATTTCAAATCATAATAAATGTGAGTTACGTAAATTCCCACTGTCTATTTTGATATGTTAATATTTTATCACAATCAACTCATTTCTTTATATTACCATCCCGTAATACAATGATTGGGGCAACTTTTAATGGCTTCTAGGGCTGAGAGGTGCCTTTTCGAGTTGCGATGCTTTGTGCTATTTCTATGAATATCATCAGCTTTCATGGCAGACTATGTCCTACGATTATATTTGCCCTTATCTGTTTATGGATAATTTAATCCTTCCAGTTTCTTTCTTGACGTTTTCCTCCCTATCTGAATATCCTGTGATTGATTCGGAGATATAAAAATAAGTCATTTGAATGTCGTTGAAATTCCAGTTTGGGTTTTTACTTGTTAGATGATTCATGCTTAGTTAGTTAAATAGTGTATTTTGCTCCTGTACGTAATATCTCTGTGTCTTTGTATATCATTAACAATCCCAACGCTAATGACAGCCTGAAATTAGGAAACGTAGGAGATATAAGAGAAAGTGCACTTACTAAAATACAAGTTTCAATATAGTAAGGCAGAAACTAGTTATTCAGCAACATGACATGCAAATAAGCATGCAAAAACCGCACTACTATTGAATACTTAAATGTACGTAAATGCAATGTCTGCAACAGGCTTCTTTGTAGATAGTAGTATGGCTAAATTGATCTGATGCATCTGTCTAGATGCATGACGTTATTACTAATGGGGTTCTGGTACGGGTACAGTAAGCTGTTGGCATGTGTCAACTTACACAACCCGTGTTCTAACTAGGGCGTCATCTAGTTGGTTAATTGTACAAAACAGCGCTGTTTCCTGATTTATTATCTGACGAGGATAGATGGTTTTTAAAGTTAGATTACATGAGGAATTGTGTTTAGAGACAAGTTCCGCAGAATCATGGGTTGGTCGTAAAAATACTGCGCTATACCTAAACTAGTTGAAGAGTCTTCACTTGAGAAGAAACTGGCTAGCAAAATGATAGTTGCCCAACAGTGACTTCCAGTGAAATAAAAGACGTTTCTCCATGTTTTGGGTTTTTGTTTTAATTTGCCTACATTTTAGTGATCATTGGTTTCGTTAGCAGATCCTAGGTTCAGGACTCATCAATTTAGTTGCCAGAGGATTATTGACGGTTGGGATCTGGATATGTCGACACTTGCTGGGACACATCCATATGACAAGTCTCAAGTACGAAATACTTCTGGGATTTCATTACTGATTGTTACCACATAGATAACCTCAATTCAATTCATGACAAAATCAAAACATCCGTACCAGAAGTTAAAAGTCACAGCTGAATTGTGCACTGTTCTGTTGTGTGCTCTAGTCAGTTTATTAATAAATTAGGCTGTTTCTCCGGGCTTAGGTTACTCGTTATCTTTACATACTTCATTTAACTGAGGCTACTCACAATGTGAATTAGACATGCAGAACACATGAACTTCTTCAGGGTTTTTACTTTGGGAACTATTTAAATCTCATCTCAGTTTCAACAAACTCCCTCCTTCTTTAGTTTTGGTGATTTATGTTAAAGTGTTTTTGTATACAAGAATTCTTTGTGGTCCTCTTTAGTTGCAGGTGATTAGAATTCATTCCTTTTTTCTGTTTGTGTGTAATTCCCAACATTGATGACTTCTAAAAATTACTAGCACATGGTTAGTTCCTTCACCAATTTTCAATTTCAAAATAAGCGGTACATGGTAATATTCTAAATTATTTCAGACTCACATCAGACTTAGTATACTCGACTAGTTTATGCTCTGTTATTGAGCATTATCTGTTGATTTATATTTATGGTAGCCAGCTGAAGATTTTGATCTATAAATCTCAGCGACGTTTTTCTGTGGTCGAAAAAGAAGCCTTATTTCATTTGACCAGTCGTCTAAGACGCCTAATACTGATGCTATGAAGGGGATCAAATTACGAAATGATTGCACAATAATGTTATTTTTTGTTAGTCATCCTACAATGTATTACTATTATTATTATTTGTCCTTTGGGTTCCTAGTGGAACATACGGCTTCAGTACGACGTCGCGATTTCGCTCTCTTTGCAGAATCTGGCTCCATGACTGCCCAGAAACTTTCATTTCTTCCTCACATGATCTCCTCCATGTCACCCTCGGACTCCCAACTCACTGATTCTCCCCTTGGATTCCACTGGAGTGCCTGGCCTCACGCGTGATGTCTCCAACCGGCCTTCTCAGTGTATGCCCAATCCATCTCTGCTTATTCTCCTGCATATTTGTCGGGCAATGGTTTCTCTGTTGGTTTGTTGCCAGCCAGCTAGAGTTCCTTGTTGCTTATTCTTATTATTCTGACCATCTGATCTTCAGTATGAAGTGAGCGTAAGCAGTAGCTGTTGATGCATGTCTACAGTTTGTTGTAAGTGCTTTTGGTGACGCGCCAAGTTTTTAAACCACACAGAAGCACTGACTTGACTGAATTGGTGTTGAGAATCCGGATGTTGTTGACGCTTTGTGGTGAGTGCAGTGCAGTTTATCTACACACTGATTTCAGATTAATGCAGGAAGTCCTGTGTTTCTGTCTTTGGGATCCTGGGTGCATAGACATCCTTGTCTGTGCCTGTGGGGCGCCACCTGTAGTTGAAACGATGCTTCGTAGGTTGGTGAGTGAGAGAGACAACTTGCTTTAGGTTTCTCGCTTTGATGATGATTGGTGTTTGTTGTTGTTGTTGTTGTTGTTGGTGGTGGTGGTGGTGGTGGTTGTGGTGGTTGGTTGGGTATCTTCATCACCTGTGTTTTCTGTACATTCACTTGAAGTCTCGTTTTCGCTGCCTCGCCTCTTCTTTCAACTTGTTTGTTTTTGCCTTCAGATCTTGGAGTTTGTGCGACATGAGACATGAATGATCATCGTTGGCGAAATGCAAATGTTCTTCTGTGGTCTTTTCATCGGTCGAGCCATTGTATGCCCCTCTTCTGGCTCGTCACAGTTTGTTGCATGATCCAGTCCAGTGGACCAGAGTGATGAAGATGATCGGTGATATTAGACAGCCTTGTCTTACTCCTTTCTGTCTTCACTTGAAATGCATCAGTGAGCTGCTTACCATTGTGAATCACTTGGCATGTGGCGTGTTTATATAGTTGTAGAATGAGGTTGCTAAAGATTTGTGGTACTCCGTAGTGTTGAAGTAGTTTTGAAATTACTTGTCGGTCGATGCTGTCGAAGGCCTTTTCAAAGTCGATGAAGTTGAGGTGAGGTGAGGTAGAGTAGAGAGTTGACTGCGATTCTATGCTCTGTTGTGTGATGATGTGTAGCGTAGAGTTGGAGTTTGGTGCGCACATGATTTGTACTTCTTGAATGCAGCCTGTTCTGGTCATAATTTTGAATCTAGTGCATCTTTTAGTCTCTCCAGGATGATGCGACATAATATTTTGCTTCGGGTGGAGCATGATTCCGCTCCAGTTCTTGCGAAGACTTAGGTCTCTTTTCTTAGGGATTTCGACAAGGTAGCCCTTTTAACAATCATTCTGCAGGTACCTTCCCTTCCTTCGCTGTTAATCCTCTGCAACAGTGATGTGAGCATGTCCACTGTTGTCTCTGCGCCTGTTTTCTGTGCTTCTGGAGGAATTCCATCTGATCCTGCTGCTTTCCCGGTATTCAGTAACTTCATGGCGTTCAGGACTCCACTTCTGCTCTTGTCGGAGGGCTTGTGTTCACTGATAGTTCTGTGGTTGGTCTGCTGGTGGTATTTCTGAACGAGTTGCAGGTGGTAGTCGATTCAAGAGTTTTTCGAAGTAGTCAGCTCATCCTATTTGGTAACTAGGTTTCCTCCACTACCTTTCATTGGTTTCATCTGTATTGGTCTCTTCCCTCTTTGATAGTAACCTCGTTATTTGGTATAATGTTGTCAGGTCTCTCCTACCAGCGGGCTGTTCTGCTTCACTTGCCGATGTGTCGTAGAAGTATCCTTTGCCTTTCCGTGCACTCTTCTTCACTTCTTTATCCAGTGTAGTGTTTTATACCTTGTGTTCAGTTCCTCTTTTCGTTGTCCATCCATACACTGCACTGCATTGGTTCACCTTCTGCTTCACCATCTTCCTCTCCCCTGTCAGTTTCCATCTGCCCGTCGAGATCCATTTCTTGTCTTGCCTCTTCTTCTTCTTTCCTAACACGGTTATGCAGGTTTCCTTCCACGTCTCTTTCAAAGAGTTCCAGTGTTTTTCCACGCAGGTTTCCTCAGAGATGTTGCTTAATGTGTCCCATTTTTTCCTGATGACTGACTGACGGGAAGATGTCGTTTGAAGTTTCGTCCTTCAGTTACTGTTCCGGGTGTTCAACTTCAACTGTGGTCTATCACCAACTTCTGTGGAGGCTTTCAACGTGTTTTTGAGGGTTCCTTGCACTAGATAATGAGTTGTGTGAACCTACATCTGCTCCTCTTGTTAATCTGATCTCGTGTCCCATAGGCTGTGCCTCCACTTTCTTCACATTGAGATGAAGTCAATCTGATTCTTAGTGTGTCTGGTGTCTTTTGAAATGCATGTCGCTCGGTTTGTGAATGTCCTTGTGTTTGTACACAGTGCCTGCAATCACCAAATGAATAAATGCGCAGAAGTGTGCGAACAGTTGTGCATTCTGGTTCATTTCAGCGAGTGCTTCTCGAGTCATGATGAGTTCTTTTCGTGTGTTGTCCACTCGCAGTTTGGCATTCATGTCACCCCACCCATTAGAATTGATTTTGATGTCGCCAACTGTGGTGGGTGTGTTGTCCAGTGGTGATTGCAGTTGTATGTAGAATTCCTCCTTCTTCTCTTGTAGGTGCATAGTGTAGCATTGTATGATTGTGAGCTTGCTTCCTTTTGATTAGAATCTTGCTGTTATGATGCTGATGGTGGAGGATGAGATTGGTTCCCACTGCCTGAGAGCGTTTGATGTTGTTGGAGGTATCATGATAGCTACTCCATAACTCAATATACTCGTGGTTGTCATCTATGTGACAATATCGGAGTAGATTATTGACTCTGCAGTTGAGAGTTTGAGAGTCGACTTCGATTGCATCTTCTTTTGCAGATTCCCAGTCTAGCACTTCTATGCTGTACCTCCTCATCTGTTATGAGATCTGGGAAGCCTTGTCAGGTTGATACATGGTGAGGGGATTCCATGTCCCCAATCTTACTTTCGATTTAATGAAGAGAGAGAGAGAGAGAGAGAGAGAGAGAGAGAGAGAGAGAGAGAGAGAGAGAGAGAAGACTTCCCGAAGGCTTCCCGAAGGGTTTGACCAACTGTTGTGATTTTGTTTTTCCGAGTCCAGCGAGGAATAAGTTTATTTTTAATGTTTTTTCTGTGCTTTGGATTTTGTTTAGCGATTGGACTAGTTTTCTGGGGTAGGGTTGCTAGCTGTATGCTTGATCTTCCCTCTTTATCCGGGCTTAGCACTGGCTAGGAACTAAGGAACTAGTTAACCATTCGAGGTTCATCCTACAATGTAATATGTTCTAATTATTTATATATACTATTCTATGAATTTAATTTTGAATGGGGCTGTTGATTTAACGTGTATGTAACACCATTGATTATCATTCAATTTTGTCCCGAAGGTTTAATGATTGGTATTCACTTTGTATTCGTGCGATAAGTTTGGTGAACTTTCAGCTTTTAGAGTTAATAATTCTAAAGACCTTCTTATTTTGACTTTTTGTATTATATGTTGAAAAAGGTGGAAACTAAATTATTCCCACTATTTTGTTATCAGACTGTTATCTTGTTTGAATAAGTTCCCAATATAAAGTATGCTTGTGAACGTTTTATTAATTTTGTTGTATAACGTTTAATTTCATCTACCAGGTTTCACTTGTATCACACTTATTTCTATCCATAAATTATGCTGTATATTTCTTAAGGATCGTCTCGAGATACCTGCTACAAATTTTTATTGGATGGATACTTTGTGGGATTCGTTCATCCATTATTTCTGGATTGGCTATTAAAGTATACAAAAGTTTTCGTGAAAACTTCTCACCCAAAACATGGTGATCAGTGTGTAACAATACATCAATCCTTGACAAATGTGAACGATCGTAGCAGCGCAGTTGCAGAAGTTATGCAAGATTTACGAACTACAAGTCCTATAAAGGCTCTTAAAGGATGGAGGAATGAAGTGAGTTGTTTTTCTCATCTTCCTTTGTTCTTTGTTTTTTTTCTTTTATAGGACAAACATATCCCAGAAAGACTGATCAAATATCGCAAAACAACTTTCATCTCATGGAAAGGCTTTAGCTTTCTAATATATCCACTTCCTTTATTCCCTTGGTTATTATTCTCTGTTATCTTCGGTATAGATTATATCCCATGCTTTATTGTGGTGGGCCCACTTCATTTTGGCCATCATATTTAATAAGGTAGGTCAATGGAATACCTAACCCTAGTTTAGTGCCTGCAAGTTGATTATTAGTGATGTGTAATCATAATGAATTACTGGTCATATAATTGCTGTCAACTGTTCAGGTCCCTCCATGATAAATCAACAACCAATTTTATACTAAAGTGATAGTATTTAGTCTCCAGTTTTCTCAATTTATCCAAAATCTTAGTAATTCTTTTCCCTCTTTATTTGCTTCATTTAATTCAAGTTGTGCAAAATTAAGAACTTTTGAGTATCACTTATTTTGTAATGAATTCAAACTTACTCCACTTACCTCAGCTTCAGCAGAAAAACGTAAGTAGTATAGTTCACAAAATTGCTGTATCACTCAGCTTATTGTATGAACCAGTGCATGGTTAATGAATTGGTTGTTTAAATGATGATTAACAAAGTCTATTTATGTATATTTATATGTACAAACAGGTTTGTCATCTAATATTACTGAAAAGTTTTTCTTATTGATAAAAAGAAGGCCGAATAAGAAAATATATTTTAGAAAAAGCAACGCCCAATTTTTTGCTTATTCCGGATAATTTCTCTCTTCACCATTATCATATTAGTTGGTTATCATTGCTAAATTTTTTCAGAATCAAATTAGTGTTTTATATTAAAATGGTTGGTTTATGATTGAAGTAACTTTGTCATAGAATTCATGGCGGTACTTTGCGCCTTATTCTTTTTTGTCTTTTTTTCACATATTTTTCATTATCTACTGAGGGAAATGCTTGTGGAGTGAGTGGTGTATCATATTCTCTAGAGCGTCTTTTATTATAGCAGTAATAGATAGAGGCTAGCAGTGTAATCCAGGATTCGCATTTCGTCCTATTTGAGACTCTTCACCTGGATGAAGGACGAAATGCGCATCCTTAATTCCGCTGCCAGCCACTATCCATCACTAATATATAATTAAAAACACAGGAAGTATCGAGGCAATCACACAGGAGGCCATATGCCAATAGAGACCGAGCAGTTTCGTTCAGTTTACGACGGTATAATACAAGCAATAACATGTCTTTTATTGTTTACTTTTTCAATTAGCTAACTCAAAGTATTAAACTTATCTGCATTATGGTGCATATATTGTGTAGACTGATTCCAAGTAAACAATTAGAATTTCTTTACATCTTGTTTTTCTTCTGATTCACAGAGTTATCATTCAGCTGTCGAGATATTTTAAAGTCCACAACTCTCACCCTACACTAATTACAGTTACAAATGTACAAGCTGATCGAATCCTGTCAGTGAAATCTTAATTGGTAGCTATTGAGGTGAATGATTCGGCACAACTGATGAATCATACGATGATAATTAAATATTGATATCTTTCTAAATTGAGTGCATAATTTCATAACTATATTACCACTATTACTGAATATGCGTGAAACAGCTTTTTATGTAAATATTTTAAAACAGGATTATGGCGTTTATATTCGTAATCGTGAAAAAGCATTGTTAAAAGTTGAACGTTCAGCTTCAAGTCTTTTGGGTATTATACGATATGGTGTGCATGTAAATGGATTTTTTTCAAGTCGAAGAAATTACTCTCAAAAATCTGATCGACCTACTAATGGAAACCTACAGAATTCAAATGATACTAATTCTCTTAATGGAATTGATCCAGACAATGTTTTCATGTGGCTTGGATTACGATCAATGGATAAACCTACATGGCCTGGAACACTTGATAATATGGTTAGTAATTATCCTATTGTTTCACTATTTCATTAGCGAACACAACAACTGGACTGAAGTAACTAGATAAGTATTTTACTTATGATATTGATAACTTCTGAGACACTACACTCAAATTATAAGTATTCTAAAAACCTCACTAGATGGATATCAAAAAAAAAATAAGTTTTCAGTCAGGCTAGGGGAAAGAACACATATTCATAAAACCTTACGACAGTTCATCATCATCATTATCAACATAGGACCAGGCATTACTGCGTAACGGTCCGAGTTGCCACACCTCATATCAGCACATCAAGTGAAAAGGAAGTGAGGTGAAGGATGAAGATAAGTGAATGCAGTCAAAAGAAATATAAAGTACGAGAAGAAAGGAAAGAGGAGTGACAAAATGGTGAGATTCGGTATAGCGTTGTTAAGATGAGGATAATGTGTGTATACATCTGCGCCACTGACTTCGGTTCTGGGCCATATCACCTAGGGTCTCCAACCACTGGTTCCTCTTGTCCCGTGGACCCCAACCACCTAGTCTGCATCGTCCTACATGGCTTAAACCAACAGTCAGAGACTTCATACATTGGTGCCATGTTTTAGTCTGGCCACCTCGGGCCTTTTTCCAGCCTGAACCCACCTCAGCCAACATTGTGTGACGAGGCAATCGGTGACTAGGCATACGTAGTACGTGTCCCAACCATCTCAGTCGATGAAGGTTCACAACCTCGTCAACTGACTTACCTCTTCTCCCTAAAACTCTACACCTAACTTCTGCATTACTCACATGGTGACACCACGGAATACGTCCTATACTACGAAGGCAACGGTGGTCAAACACCTGAAGCCTTTTTGTATCCTCCACTTTCAATGGCCATGTTTCACAGCCATACAGTAGAACAGAGCGGACTGCTGTGCAGTACACGCGACCCTTAATAGACAAACGAATATCACGGCGGCGCCATAGGTGGCGCAAATTGGCAAAAGCCAATCGAGCCTTTTGTATCCGTGCAGAAATCTCATCGGCAACTAACCCACCGGGTTGATCCTACTTCCCAGGTAAGTGAAGTGGTCAACACACTCAACCACTTCACTCTCTATTGTTAGCGGTGGTACCGCTGAAGACCAGTCCTGGAGCAAAAATTTGCATTTGGGTGGTGAAAATCGCATCCCAAACATTCTCAAATTCCCACTCAAAGTGTTCAGAAGACTCTGCATCTTGTCAGCGTCTTCACCTAACAGGACTATGTCATCTGCATATTCTAGATCTAAGGAAAATTCACCTGTGATTGGGTCAACGTCTTTGTAATTAGGTGACGAGAGGGAAACCTCCATAAGAATATCTATGATAAAATTAAATAAGAATGGGGATAGTGGGCATCCTTGACGGACACCACTTGATGAGTATAGCTCCCTGGACAACTCACCATAGGCTCTAACATGCCCACAAGTGTTCGAGTAGAGAGCTTTCAATAAGGTGATGTACTTACTAGGCACGCCTTTCAGTGACAGACTTCTCGATCAACGGAGTCAAATGCCGCCTTCAGGTCGAGAAATACAGCTATTGTCGGGCGTCTGTAAGCATGCCTATGTTCCAGGACCTGGCGCAGTGTGAATATTTGGTCGATACATCCACGGCCAGGTCTAAAGCCTGCCTGGTTTTCTCGGGCTTGCTGTTCCCGAGCTCCACTCAGGCGTCGGAGAATTATAGAACTTAGGATCTTAGACACTATGTTTGTCAGGCTGATTCCTCTGTGGTTATCACAAGAGGACTTCTCGCCTTTCTTGAAGACTGGGATGATCAGTGACTTAGACCAGTCGGAGGGGATCGTATTTGATTCCCATATACTGGCTAACACTTCCGTTAGCCTGACTAAGAGAACTCTACCACCATTCTTGTATACCTCAGCAGGTAGTCCGTCTGGTCCTGCTGCCCTTCCTTGTTTCAGGCTACCTACCGCTTTCTCAACTTCTTCTAGTGTTGGGGGACCTGTCTCTATGTCCCATTCAGGGTCCGACTGGATAGCGGGCAGCGCAATGGTGGCTGGAGGCCAGTTAAACTGTTCCTCAAAGTGTTCTGCCCATCGTCCCAGTCGCCTTCCCTGCGAGTGAATCGCCGATCCGTCCTTCTCCGCTATAACCTCACTAACTGTTGTTGACCATTTCCCCCCAGTCTCCTTAATAAGTCTAAATAACTGTCTACTGTTACCGATCGCCGCTGCCTTTTCCATCTCTTTAGCCTTTGCTGCCCACCACTGTTCACGATCGTTGCGCAGACTTTTCGTCAGTTTATTTTTAAGTTGCGCTCGCTCTTCATTGTACTCAGAGCCTGCAGGGATGCATTCACGTGCATCCATTAGTTTGGAAGAAGCTGCTGATATCCACTGGCTCTTTTTAGCCATTATCTTGGAGTCGGCTACAGTCTCCAGTGCTGCTTTTACAGTAGACTGAAGATGGCACCAAGCTTCTTCTGGATGAGTGACAGTCTTTTGTTCCGATAACTGCCTAGCCAACTTCTCACTGAACACGGCTTTGGTGTTTTCGTTGTCCAGCAGAACTCGTAGTGGTTTTGTTGCCAAATTTTTTCTACGTCCATTGAGACGCAGGCATATACGTGCTCGGACCAACGCATGATCGCTGTCCAAACACGTACTCCAGAAGGAGCGGCAGTCTTCCACCGATCCTCTCCAGCGATGACTAATAGCAATGTGGTCTATCTGTGTCCATCGCTGAGTCGAGCTCGGTGGACGCCAGGTCAGACAGTGCCTTTCTTTATGTCTGAAATTTGTGCTGGCTAAAAATAGGCGGTTATCTGAGCATAGTTGTAATAGGCGATCACCGTTATCTGTACGTTCAGCTGGGATTCCGAAAGTGCCACCTAAGTGCCTTTCTGCCTCACTCAGTCTACCCACCTGTGCGTTGAGGTCACCTGCAACAACCACTACGTCCGAACGTTTGGCTTTCGAGAGGAGGTTAGACAGTTTATGGTAGAACTCGTCCTTCACTTCATCCGAACTACAGTCAGTGGGTGCGTAAGCAGAGATTACAAAGAGACAACGGCGAGTCTCACTATTCCTTTTAGTTCTCACTGTGCCGTTCAGCCTCATAGCGCAGAGGCGACTATCAACTGGGATCCAGTCTAGTAGTGAGTTTTCTGCCCTGGTGCTTAATGCTATACCTACACCTGCAAGACCACGAGAGCTAGCTATCGAATCTCCAGAAACTCGAAGGGTGAATTTTGCAGATTCACCAGATTGGTCAGGAGAGGTCAGGTGAATAACCACACTTGGGTCCTGTATGCGTGTCTCACAAACACAGCACACATCCATGCCCGAGTTGCTAGAGTCTTTGCCAACGAAGCCTGTTGGCCAATTTGACGGAGGGTGCGGACATTGAAGGCTCCAATATGTAATTTGGAGCGTGGTTTAAGGAGACCAGGGATGCTGTTCTGTGGACTCAGATCGTTGTCGAAGGCTGCAGAGGTAGGAGAAATTGAAGATGATGCAGCATCATTAATTAAGAGACGTGAAGGAAGATTAGAAGGTAATGATGGAGGAGGAGGATAGCAGTCAGAAGAAACTTGGGTGCTGACAGAGTTGTGAGGGCGGTTGACACTTCCCGGCTGCCCACACCGTGGAAGGCTATTTCTTCTTAAGGTACCTGAAAGAGATTTGTGTGACCGCAGAGCCCATCGGACATCTGCTTGAGGCCTGTCACACCCAGCCTTTTGAGTATGATTATTTTGAATTTTTGTATTTTTGGGGCCGGATGGGCGAAAGGAAACGACAAGTGAACCAACACCGCCGGCCCGGCAGACCGTGGGGCGTGGTGGAGTGTGTTATTTTTGGGGCCGACCTTTTCTAACCCCCCCTTCCACTGAGAAGGCAGCATCAGCTTGGCACTGCTGGTCATCCAAGGGAAACACCTTACTGCTGTCACACCCCATCCAGCTAGCAGCAGTACGACTTCGCCCTCAGACCCCCATCATAGTGTAGCAATTTACACTATAACGGTAACTGCTTTTCGTCTAACCACTACCCAACAGACCTTTCTGGTATGGTAGGACCTCGAGGGAACAAGCGTTCCACCAGCATAGCTCGTTGGGTCATTGTGATATGCAAGCCCGACCACCACGTCAAGGTAGCAGCTATCGGTCAGGTTACGACAGTTAGTGTGAAGCATTTAGGCAAGTGTAGGTTTTATGACAGAAAATATCAAGTTATCAGGAATCAGTTTTTAAAAAAACTGTAGTCGGCACAGCTACAAGTTGATCACAGTGGTGTATATATAAATTTTTATTCATCTTTAGACTTTTTACTGCTCTATATTGACTTGTTTGCTGGCGATTCACCTCCTCAGGTTAGTTTGATTGTATCTACATTTTTCTCAATTTTATCTTTAGGTATTGTTGTTAAAAAGTTCGACTACCTGAACATTTGCAGTTTATTGTGAAGTTCTATGTTTTTCTGTGTAAATCCAAATCCTATTTAGGTTGTAGTTGGAATGTACATAGTAGTCTATCTTCTCTCAACAAGTCAAGATTTACATATGTGTTTCATCTATCCACTATCAGATTGTAGTCTTTCAACTCAACTTTATTATTCAGTCGAAAGTCTTTAAAGCCTTCAATATCCTGTCTTTGTAGTGTCTGTATCACCCGCCTAGATCACATGACATACATGAAATAACACCTCAAGCATCATTTTCAATTCTACTAACTCAATTAAGATGTGAAAGTATTTTCACATCAATCATCCGTAGTGGGTCCTCGTTTATATGGTTTGATGGAACAAGCCACCAGTTACGTTCACCACTATTCTCGAAAGGTCAAAATGAGACTTATCTCAGTGAAAAAGTATCCTTAGGCTTCACTTAACATATTTAAACTATTGTTGTGTGGAGATGGACATGGAGTGCATACAGTTAGTTGTAACTAATTTTCAGTTTTGTCATAACTCGTTCCATGTCATACCGTTGAACCATATCGCTCATGTGCAATAGGGTTAGAAATTATGCTGAAATGATCCAAACGGTAATATTCACCTTTTGCTTGTAATAGGCAATGTTTATGGTCAGTGTAGAAAGTGTTCACGTTCCTACTACACTCACCAAAAATTCTTCTGGTGGTCTGTTTATTTAACTGCTGTTATATTATTACTGGATGCATCTTCAGCAATAGACGTGACACTGACGAAATCAACGTAGAATCTAGCACACAGGTGTAACAGCTCAAGTTGCCACACTTCACAGTAGTACTCAAAGAACAGGTGGATAGAATAAGACTAAAGTCAAAGTTGATAAAGTAGTATAAGAGAAGGTTAGTGCAAATATTCAAGCTTTAGAAGATGTCAAGGGTTGAATACATCTGACTCATTGTGATCGATTTCCGGGCATCTCATCAAGAGTCCTCAACCACTGGTTCTCATCATCTTGCGGACTCCAACCAAGCAGTCTACTTTCTCCTCCCCCCCCCTCACACATATATACACACATATACACGATCCAAACCAACAGTAAGAAACTTCATCAACTGGTATCAACAATAAGAGTTTTATTATGAATTATCTTGATGCAACCTAACTTATAGATAAATTCACTTGAGAATTTATCTAATACATGTTTATTCAATTTAGAGATAAATGAATAATTTTGTATATTGTATCGACTGCACTGAAATGTGTTGATTCAACTAGTTTCTTAAATATGGTAAAAAGAAATTACTTTTTTTTTCTGTATAAAGTATATGATTAACAAAATTCACCTTGTAACTATGATTTAACAAAGTAATCTAAGTGAAATATAAATTTTCATATTTAATTCAGGCTGCTGGCGGTTTAACGTATGGTTTAGATGTAGTAGAATGTGCTCGAAAAGAATGTCAAGAGGAAGCAAGTATACCAGAACATATGTTGAGTAAATTAACTCTTGTAAATCAACTCAGGTAAATTGAATTATAAATTATCAGTCTATATAAAATTGATAGTAATGAAATCATTATTTCTCAGTTCTTCTTTTAATTTTATATTTACATGATTCAACTAAATGATGTTTTGAGTTTAAAATTAACTTACAATTAACTATTTTAAAACTCTAGACATACATTTTTAGATCATATTTGAATAATTAAAATATTATCCAAGCTTTGATTATCACTTTTCATGAGAATGATTTTAAAACGTTGTATTAGATTGTGAATAGTATATTCATCATAAAATGATATCGGTTAAAGCGTGAATAAAAATTTAGTATCAACAACTTATTGGTTTAATTATTTGAATTTCAACGATTATATCATTTACTTGGAATATGCTTAATCTAGCTTAGTTCAGGCAACTTATTTTATTTTTGTTTTTCCCTTTGGTTTCTGGTGGAATATACGGCTTCAATAGCACGCCTCCATTGCACTCTGTTTTCTGTAGTCTTTTCAACCTGACTACATGACTGCCCAGAAACTTTCATTTCTTCCTCACATGATCTTCTCCATGTCACCCTCGGACTCCCAACTCACTGATTCCCCCCTTGGATTCCACTGGAGTGCCTGGCCTCACGCGTGATGTCTCCAATAGGCCTTCTCAGTGTATGCCCAATCCATCTCCACTTTATTTCCCTGCATATTTGTCGGGCAATGGTTTCTTCCTTGGTTTGTTGCCAGCCAGCCAGCCAACCAGCCAGCCAGAGTTCCTTGTTGCTTATTCTTATTATTCTGACCATGTGATCTTCAGTATGAAGTGAGCGTAAGCAGTAGCTGTTGATGCATGTCTACAGTTTGTTGTAAGTGCTTTTGGTGACGCACCAAGTTTCTAAACCATATAGAAGCACTGACTTGACTGAATTGGTGTTGAGAATCCGGATGTTGTTGACGCTTTGTGGTGAGTGCAGTGCAGTAGATCTGCACACTGATTTCAGATTAATGCAGGAAGTCCTGTGTTGCTGTCTTTGGGATCCTGGCTGCATTGATCTCCTCGTCTGTGCCTGTGGGGCGCCACCTGTAGTTGAAACGATGCTTCGTAGGTTGGTGAGTGAGAGAGACAACTTGCTTTAGGTTTCTCGCTTTGATGATGATTGGTGTTTGTTGTTGTTGTTGTTGTTGTTGCTGGTGGTGGTGGTGGTGGTTGGTTGGGTATCTTCATCACCTGTGTTTTCTGTACATTCACTTGAAGTCTCGTTTTCGCTGCCTCGCCTCTTCTTTCAACTTGTTGGTTTTTGCCTTCAGATCTTGGAGTTTGTGCGACATTAGACATGAGACATGAATGATCATCGTTGGCGAAATGTAAATGTTCTTCTGTGGTCTTCTCATCGGTCGAGCCATTGTATGCCCCTCTTCTGGCTCGTCACAGTTTGTTGCATGATCCAGTCCAGTGGACCAGAGTGATGAAGATGATCGGTGATATTAGACAGCCTTGTCTTACTCCTTTCTGTCTTCACTTGAAATGCATCAGTGAGCTGCTTACCATTGTGAATCACTTGGCATGTGGCGTGTTTATATAGTTGTAGAATGAGGTTGCTAAAGATTTGTGGTACTCCGTAGTGTTGAAGTAGTTTTGAAATTACTTGTCGGTCGATGCTGTCGAAGGCCTTTTCAAAGTCGATGAAGTTGAGGTGAGGTGAGGTAGAGTAGAGAGTTGACTGCGATTCTATGCTCTGTTGTGTGATGATGTGTAGCGTAGAGTTGGAGTTTGGTGCGCACATGATTTGTACTTCTTGAATGCAGCCTGTTCTGGTCGTAATTTTGAATCTAGTGCATCCTTTAATCTCTCATTTCAGGCAACTAGATAACACTTTTATTCAAGGTTTAATTTGAAGTTCTTGATGGTTACTAAGTTATATCTTCTATGGTTTTTGTAAATATCTGTTTCTTTCTACTTCAAACATTTTACAACTGAGTTCACACCATATATTTTCTTTTCTTTATGTTTTTCACCCAGTATATTATTGCTTAATCACTTGATTGTTAGTTAGTGGTTAGTATATTTCGATTACTGTCTATGTAATAATATAAAACCACCATTTCATAATATTATCAATTAATATCTAACTACACTTTTAACGATTTTACTCCCACAGTTTGTAACTATACACATTAGCTAATTTAGAGTCACAAGTTTACGGTGAATGACTAATAACTCGTAAATTATTATATAAAAGTTAACAGTAATTAAGGTTCAGCTGGTTACTTTAAGACTACTCAAAAGCGATAAGTGTATTATTCGAGGTAGAGACTTTAACGCGTCTATTTTAACTGAACTTGAAAGTGTGTAAGCCTACAAAAAGGAAGTTCAAATATGACTTGCCTATGCACCAAAGTGCATATATAGTACACATAAACTCTAAGTGAATAAACATACCGATTGGAAAACTTCCAATTTGTTCACCTTATTGTTTAAGAGTAATAAATTGAATGATGCTGATTAGTGCTGTAATAATTCATTCCAGTCCTATGATATCTTGCTATAACTAACTATAAAATAACTTTTTAAGCTTGATGAGGAAGCACAAATGAAATATTTACTTTTCTTTACTTCACATGATGTTTTAATTGTTGGCTTTTTCGAAAAACAGGATAAAAATATCTTCAGTTTATTTAAGGTCAGAGTAATAATGGACCGTGTACATCCGAGTTTATATTATTTGAATTATCTCGGATATGTTTTCGAAACGTCATGTGTATACTTTCGAGGTATTTATTTCGTTATGATTTATGTCAGATAGTTGATGTATTTTTAGAGAAAAAAAAGTCATTTTAACTTTTGTAATTTATGGATAGTAAAAGATGCTTAATAAATGTAAGCTGAGTAATTTATAGACAATTAAGCACAAGTGTTTAACTAGTTGATCGGTATTACCAATCTATTGAAGTCAGCCACCTACAGTTTATCTGGTTCTAGTCGAACACCATTTCGTCAATGTGGATTATCATAGCTTACAAATAGGTCAAATTATCATTTTAACTATCCGAGACATCCTTGATTTGTTAGACTAGTACTGATACTGGGTGATGATTGAAGATGAAATGATAATCAATATGATGCTCCCCCTCTCTAATTCAGTTAGATTCGAGTTGGGATGAGAAGTTCAAACTAGGCGGCCAATATGAATACTATCAAGCGGAGGTAACGTGTTACAAATTCACATGGTAATCGGGCAAAAAACATGGTGATTGAAGTGAAATAAAAATCTGGTCAGCAATGGGACCTCGTAGCTCGGTTGGTAGAGGATCGGGCCGAAAACCCGGTGGTCGGTGGTTTGAATCCGGCCGCGGTCCAAATTTTCATTTCACCTTTAATCATCAGCCAGTATAAATAAGTAAGATCTCACTCCTTTATTTTTACCATTGATCTGGCTAGTGAAATCTATTGATATATGAGTGTTTTCTTGTCACTCATCAATTGATATACTCCGAAAAAAACTTGTTATATTATTATTATTAGTCCCTTGGGTTCCTAGTGGAACATAGGGCTTCAGTAGCACGCCTCCAGTGACCTCTGTTCTCTGAAATCTTTTGAACCTGGTTCCACGACAGCCCAGAAGCTCTCATTTCCTCCTCGCATGACCTCCTCCATGTCACCCTCGGCGACGCCCAACTCGTCGCATCCCATGGGGATTCCACTCGAGGGCCTGACGCGTGATGTCCTCAGTTGGCCTTCTCAGTGCATGGCCAATCCATCTCCACTTCCTCCTGCATATTTGTTGCGTGATAGGTTCTTGGTTGGTTCGTTCCCAGAGTTCCTTGTTGCTTATTCTTTCTGGCAATCCATCTGATCTTCAGCAGCGAGCGTAAGCAGTTGTTGATGAATGTCTGTAGTTTATTGGAAATCCCTTTCGTGACGCGCCAAGTCTCTGAGCCATACAAGAGCACTGACTTGACGTTGGTGTTGAAAATCCGTATCTTGTTCCACATGCTGAGTGCAGAAGATCTCCACACTGGTTTCAGGCTAATGAACGCCTGTCTTGCTTTTCCGATTCTGACTTTGACGTCCTCGTCCGTCCCGCCTGTAGTTGAAACAGTGCTTCCTAGATAAGTGAAGGAGGTTACTTCCTTCAAGTTTCTCCCGTTGACGGTGATTGGAGTTTGTTGTTGTTGTTGATGGTGGTGGTGCGGTATCTTCATCACTTCTGTCTTCTCTATATTCACCTGAAGTCCCGTCTTCGCTGCCTCTTCTGTCAACTTGTTAGTTTTTGCCTGCAGATCTTCAAGTTTATGTGACATTAGGCATAAGTCATCGGCGAAATCCAGATCTTCTAGGTTCTTTTCCGCAGTCCAGTGTATCCCCCTCTTCTCGCTGCCTACTGTTTGCTGCATGATCCAGTCCACCACAATAAGGAATATCATGGGGGATAGTAGGCAACCTTGTTTCACTCCTGTCTTCACTTCAAAGGCATCACTGAGCTTCCCATTGTGGATTACTTGGCATGTGGCATCTTCATATAGTTGTTGAATGAGGCGGATAAAGGTTTGCGGTACTCCGTAGTAATGAAGCAGTTTCCAAATTACCTCTCGGTCGACGCTGTCAAAGGCCTTCTCAAAGTCGATGAAGTTGAAGTAGAGAGCTGATTGCCATTTTATACTCTGTTCTATGATGATGCGTAGTGTAGCGTTGCAATTTGGTCAGCACATGATTTGTACTTCCTGAAGCCTGCCTGTTCCGGTCGCAGTTTTGAATCCAGTGCGTCTTTAAGCCTCTCCAGGATGATGCGGCTTAATATTTTACTTGGGGTGGACAGGAGAGTGATTCCTCGCCAGTTCTTGCAAACACTGAGGTCTCCCTTCTTCGGCAGTTTGACAAGGTAACCCTTCCTCCAATCGTCAGGTACCTTCTCTTCCCTCCACACCTTCTGCAATAGTGGTGTGAGCATGTCCGCTGTTGTCTCTGCATCTGTTCTCAGTGCTTCTGGCGGGATTCCATCTGGTCTTGCTGCTTTCCCACATTTCAGTAGCTTTATGGCGTTCAGGACTTCTATTTTCGTTGGGGGATTTATGTTCACTTGTAATTCAGCGGCTGCAGGTGGTATTTCTGGACGAAGTGCAGGTGGTGGTGGTGGTCGAATCAAGAGCTTCTTGAAGTGGTCGGCCCATCGTTTCCTCTGTTTCTCTTCTTTTGTAATTAAATTTCCGTCATCATCTTTTATTGGTTTCATCTGTGTTGGTCTCTTCCCTGATAGCAACCTGGTTATTTGATACAATGTCGTCAGGTCTCTCTTACCTGCAGCCTGTTCTGCTTCACTTGCCAGTGTGTCGTAGAAGTGTCTTTTGTCTTTGCGTGCACTCTTCTTCACTTCTTTGTCCAGTGTAGTGTTTTATACATTGAACTCAGTTCCTGTTGTCGTTGAGCATCCTTGCACTGGTTTATCTTCTGCTTCACCATCACCATCCTCCTCTCCCTGCTCTATCAGCTTCCATGTATCCATCGAGATCCATTCCTTATCTTCTTTCTTCTTCCTTCCTAATACTGTTGTGCAGGTTTCTTTCCACATAGCTTTCAAAGACTTCCAGTGTTCTTCCACCCAGGTTTCTTCAGGGATGTCCCTCGACGTCTCCCATTTTGTCTTGATGACTGACTCGTGAAGATTTCCTTTGTAGTTTCATCCTTCAGTTTCCGAGTGTTGTACTTGGGTTGAGGTCTATCACCAGCTTCCTTGAAGGCTTTTAACTTGATTTGGAAGGTTCCTTGCACTAGATAGTGGTCTGAGCCTACATCTGCTCCTCTTCTTGACCTTGTGTTAAGTAGACTGCGTCTCCATTTTCTTGAGATTGAGATAAAGTCGATTTGATTTTTAGTGTGTCCATCTGGTGAAGTCCATGTCGCTTTGTGGATATCCTTGTGCCTGAACACACTGCCTCCAATCACCAAATCGTTGAATGCACAGAATTCTGCAAACAATTCTCCATTCTCGTTCATCACCTCACCGAGCGCCTCTCGACCCATGGTTAGTTCTCTTCCCGTGTTGTCTGCTCCCAGTTTGGCATTCATGTCGCCCATTAGAATTTCGATATCGCCAACTTGAGTGGTGTCTTGTCCAGTGTTGATTGAAGTTGTCTGTAGAATTCCTCCTTTTTCTCTTGCTCTGCATTATTTGTAGGTGCATAACATTGTATGATTGTGACCTTTCTTCCTTTTGAGTTGAATCTTGCTGTCACGATCCTGGAGGAGATTGGTTCCCACTGCATGAGAGCCTTCGATGCTCTTGAGGACATCATGATAGCCACTCCCTCAGTGTGCTCGTGGTTGGCGTCTGGGTGACCGGAGTAGATTATTGATTCTCCAGTTGACAGTTTGGAGAGTCCAATCCCATTCCATCTGCTTTCGCAAATCCCAAGCACTTCAATGGGATACCTTCTCATCTCCTTTGCAATCTGGGCTGCCTTACTGGGTTCAAACATCGTGCGGACATTCCATGTCCCCACGTTTACTTTCGCTTTCATCGAGAGAAGACACATCGGCCCGGCTAATTGGCTTCCCGAAGTCAGGCTTTCACCAACTGGCGTCATTTCGCCTCTCCGATTCCAGCGGGGAATAAGTTTGTTTTCATGTTTTATATATAGTTTGTGCTTTGAAGTTTCTTTAGCGGTTAGATTTGTTTTACGGGGTAGGGTTGCTAGCCCTATGCCCAACCTTCCCTCTTTACCCGGTCTTAGGACCGGCTAGTAACTAGTAAACTAGTTAACCAGGCGAGGTTGAAAAGATAATTTGTTCAATAATCGGATTAACTTAGAAATTGGCTTAGTAGTACAAAACTGAAGTCCTTTTAGATTATCTACACGTCTTAGAAATTTAAGAGCATTCGAACATAGAAGTGAAACACTGACACTTTCGATGCAAATATCAGTGGGAGATAGCCAGCTACATCAGTCACTTTGTGAAATAGGTCTGGATTGCCTATCTCAAATAACGGATTTAGTCTGTGTTGACTGGAAGATATGATATTTGAGGTCTCATCATTCCAGGAGGATCATTTTGATTACTTTCGAAAGCAAATACGCTTTTTGAGGTTGTATCAAATTTCTTAACTGTACTGCGATATACTAGTGATCGGTGTCTTGAGAAAGATCAGGATCTTCAGTGGATTTTCACTTTGTCCCATCCTACTGTGCGCTTGTGTATAATTGCGTACAAGGCTTTAATGAGCTTTTTTCTAAATTCTTTATCTTACTAGGATCTGGAAAATTTGATCTAATATAAGTGTAAAACTCGGGCACTGTGGTCGATTGTAATTCTATTTTAGTTTGTTTGTTAGAAATATCGCACAGTGAAACAGTAGCATTTACTGGATAACGTTTCGGACACAATTTATTGTCCATATTCATCTCAGGTAACTCTACAACTTCGAGATAGTCTTTATATATTCCTAGTTTCCTCTCCTTCTCTGTGATGACAAGGGTTGTAGAATTTTCCATATATCTTTATTTATCAAATCAACACCAAACACATGCAATCGAAATAATGCTGCATCTGTCCCAGATATATGGAAAATTCTACTACCCTTGTCATCACAGAGAAGGAGAGGAAACTAGGAATAGATAAAGACTGTCTCGAAGTTGTGGAGTTACCTGAGATGAATATGGACAATAAATTGTATCCGAAACGTTATCCAGTAAATGCTACTGTTTCACTGTGCAATATTTCTAATAAACAGGCTAAAATAGAAAATTTGATGTAGCTAGGGTTTTGTGCTTGGATAGACTAATTGACTCTGGTCGACTACTTTGACCTGTTTATTTGACCTTGCAGTCGTTGCAAGGGAATTGGTAAAGTTATTTTGCTTAACTGGATCAATAAAACCTTTTAACCTACAAAGAAGGCACCTGAGAGACATTGCGTAGGATCCTCACTAGGGCTGGGATTAGAGTGGCATTTAAACCTACAAACGCACTTAGAAATAAGCTTTGTCGTTTAAAAGATTCTACTGATCCAACTAAGCAGAATAACTTAGTTTACCAAATCCCTTGTAGCGATTGCGTGGTTCTTGTTTGATACTTGTAATTGCCCGTTGCTATACACGGTCGAGATGCTCAACCTCTTTTGGCAAATGGGCTGCTATACGGATGCCTCGATGTTGCCGAATATTCATGATATTTTATTCATCTCGGTGACTAAGTGGAATCCAGGACATGCCTTTCGTCCTATTCAGGACTCGTCAGTTGTATGTACTTGCACTCAGCTAAGACTTGAACCCACTACCCATCGCTTCAAACGCCAGTGTTATCTACTAGGCCACTGAAACTCGACAGCCACATTTTGTGCAATGGGTATCAGTTATTGTATGATACTTGTGCTTGCGAGGTCAAATACATAGGTCAAAATAGTTAACCTGGGTTGGTCAATTATGCTATCCGAGCACAAAAACCCAGCTAAATCAAATTTGGTAGATACCAGAAAGGTAAAGAATTTAGCGAATAGTTCTGCATCCAGTTACACATAACAGGATGGGGACAGGGCGACAATCCTTAAAACTAACCAAGGGGGTGGGTGGAGAGAGGGAGAGATCTATAATCAAATCTTTATTTATCGAATCAACACGCAACACATGCATCCAGCAGGAATAACTCAGTACCTAGTGTTAATATATCGAAAGTCCTACTACTATCACAAAAAATGTGAAGGAATTAGAAGTATATAAATTATGTCTCAAAGTTGTGGAATCGCCTTGATAACACTGTGGACAATAAATTGTTTCCGAAATGTTATATGATCAATACTAATGTTTCACTATGTGATACATCTAGTATAAATCAACTAAAATGGAATAATATGAATCAAAGAACATAAAAACTCATTCAGCAGTTATTATCGTATTCCTTCAATGCTTTTTGAAAAACAACAACAATTCTTTCATCTGTTCTTTGTATACTCATGAGTCATATCTCTCCAAGTAGTAATCACGTTCTTCAGTTGTTAGGAAGCGTCAGAGGTAATAATACCTTTTATCTTCAGCTTGGACTTCTACTATCTTCTTATATATATATATATATATATATATATATATATATATATATATATATATATATATATATATATATATAATGACACCATAAGAAAGATACACTGATTTTATTTTCTTTCTTTCTAGGTCATTTAAATTTTTTATAAATACTTATTTTCTTTAGTGACTTCAATTCTTAACCTTGGGGACATGATCATATTGACTAATAAATTGATCTCATAAGACCTAGTCTAAAAGTTAGTGAATAGGTGAAGGTATGTATGTACAGTCTCTTGTCTGTGAATGTATGCCTATATATATATATATATATATATATATATATATATATATATATATGCAAAATCGCTGAAAATCTAGCTATTTACTTAGCGTCAGTTTGCAATTAGCTAGTACTTCAACCTTTTATCACCACTCTTTATTGTTTTATTTTCCGGAAATGCTATTGACTTACTAAAAGTGTAATCTATTATTCAAATTTGGATCATAAAGAAAAGTGCAAGTGAAATTTTTTGAAAGTGATGATAATATTTCTGTTTCATAAATTGAGGGATATTTATCAGAATGTATGAAAGGGAAGGGAACAATTATTCAAATGGTCTATTCTCTTACCGGTTTCTCATATCGATCTAAAACTTACTTTAAATAAGTTTGAATCCCGCTCCACCCACTAAGGTTTAGGTAACCAGATAGCAGTAGTATCATTAACCTTCACACAATAGATTTGACTCATTCCCTATTGTATGCGTATGCACAAGGTTGCTGAGTGGATTTCGACTTTTCGATTCGATTATCTAGGTATGAACTATACTTGAACAAACGAAAAAGAACAAGTTTTTTGTAGAATACAATCCAATCATTTTATTCTAACACTTTTCGTTAACCGCGAACAGCATAAAATCTGGAGTGAAAGGGGACACTAAAGATATCGTAAATCGGTGAGTTCGAAATCATTCGAACTGTATATTTTAAAGAACGGAAGGTTCAAATGTTTTACGGAAGAAGAAGGGACTGCAGGGAAATAACTCAGATGGTGTTGGTGATGAGAGACAGCTGTACGATTAAATTTAACTCAGTGAATTGCATTCATTAGACAGACAGATAAATAATAATAATAATTCAATCAGATAAGATAGGAGTACAACTAAATAGTTAAATGAGAAATTCATCATATTTCTTCCATGAGCATAGATCTCACTAATAAGGAAGTTTTGTGTTAATATATCTTCTTAGAAGTGTAAAACTAACTCTCAGTATTTCTTTAATACTATTTATCATTCCAAGGGTAGAATAGGATGAAAACCAATATAATTTTCAGAATCTAGCTTCTTTTTTAAGAAGTATTTCTATGGAATCTACTGTGGAAACTATTCACTTTCTTGATGTAAACACTTACCATAAGAAGTTTTTTTTAAAAATATTAATTATTCTGACACTTGTTCTTATCAGGGATTATTGGCTTGTATTCATTCTAAGTAATTCTAGTCTAAGTCAGTCTCAATAGACGTCATATACTTCAGCTTGTCGTTACATGCTTACAAGTACATAGTGATCTGATTAATATTCCCCTTTGGAATTGTGATAAGCATGAAATACAACTCAGTTAACAATTTAAACTATGTGATGTCATGAGAAATTATAATTGGCTTTAAAGAACACCAAAAATATTCCTAATATTTTATCTGTTGACTCTAGACAGTCGTTAACCATATTTCTCTACTGTTTTAAATAATTCCATTATTCTATCTTGGAGTGAAAACTTTCATCAAGTTCAACTATCATATAATCACTCTGTATAATGACTATACATTTAACTTGGCTGGATGATTTACTGAAGATACAGAAAGAAAGAAAGAAAACAATGTGATATACTCTATATCCTTCTAAACGCAGACGTAAAAGCTTATTGAAGTCAAGTGGATGGTTATAAGCAGGAAAGACGAGATAGTCATGCTGATTATATGTGCTTAAAATGAGGTGGTTGGGGAGTATGACGTATATACTCTTATTTTGTTTATCATCTGACTATCTGAGATAGCTGTAGTTTAGCAGACTAGTATTTAATACTGGGCGATGATTGAAGATGAGATGGAAATTTCGACCGTGGCCGGACTCGAACCATCGATCACCGGGTTACTGGCCCGATACTCTACCAACTGAGCTACGAGGTCCGACTGCTAACCAGATTTTTATTTCACTTCAGTCAATCTTGTTTTGATGTCTAGAGTAAAAATAAGCTGTGAAAAAGTTTAGGATAACCAAGCTAAGAGACATTAGCACTCCATAAACTCACCCTATTCTTCATCTTAATTGTATGGTTTGCATACCTCGAGATGTAAGGTATCTTGTTGACATTATCGAAATTCGACTACATGCACTTTATCTTCCTCTAGTTTTACCCTATCCGCCTATATATTGTCTTTTAACGAATAATACATTTGTCTCATTGGTCTTTTTCTCATTGTGTGCATACTACTAAAAAATATGGCAATTTGACCCAATGCACTTTTGTTCAATTGTTCTATATTGAGATGTCTGTCTGCCTGATATGCATCTGTAGAGATGATTGAAGATTTCCTGCGAACTGTCTTTTAACATTTGTATAAAGCATGACGTTGATTACTTGTATAGTAAGTTTTATTTTTACAATAAGTAGTCCTAATTTTGTATTATACTCCTTTATATCATTTCGATTTCTTGACATAATTGTATGATCCTTTCTTTTGTAGGTTTTGTCGATTTTCAAGATGATACATCCTTTTAATGAGGGTACAGTGGCCGGTGAATATAGCCCACCAATTTCCATTTAATTTTATGATTTATGACGGTTATTCAAAGTGTAATATTTTTTTTACTTTGGCTACAGAATTTCCATTTAAACATTTTTTTCTTTTCTAAACAGTTATATTTTCGAAGATGAACGTGGTGTTTGCCCACAAATCGAATATTGTTTTGATCTCGAATTACCGTCAGACTTCACTCCTGTAAGCTCTGATGGTGAAGTGGATAGTTTTCAGTTAGTTAGTATATCGGAGGTATGTTTCTTTATGTACAAAAGAATTTTCATAGTTCAAATCTGTACCCTGTTTATAATAAAAATAGTATAAAGTTTTTGTATTCTCCGAGTGCATTTAATTTCTAATAATAATAATAATGATAATAATAACAATAATAGGGAGATTTTCCTTTTTTGACACTTTCATTTTTATAAACTCTACAGTATGTGTACCTTTCACTGATAAACTGCTTTTAGTGTGAATATATCTATGTATGTTCAGAGTGAGTTGTTCACTGAGTTTTACTTCTGACTTTACAAAGAGTGACGTCACACTGATGATGATGATGATGACAAAGCTGTCAGTCTATCAGTATCAACACGAAATCTGGAATTACTGTGTAACATTCCAAGTTGTCAAATTCCATACGTACATATCAACATACAAGACAGCAAAACAAGACAGAAATGTAAAAGTCATGCAAAATATTTATACAAGGGTAAAACAAATAATAAAAAGTGATATAGCGAAGCGATGCCATATGTACCACTGACGCAGTATCATCTAGAACTTCCAACCGTCGCCTTCGGCCGTCCAGTAGACCCCTACCTAAAAGTGTACATTCCCCTACATAACTCACACCAACAATCAGAGAATTCATGACGACCCCATGCTCGAATCAGACAACAGTTGACCTCATCCCAGTTTGAACCTACTTCAGCTAACATGCCACATCAACCAAATGATGACTGGACATGCCCACCATGTGACCGAACCACTTGAGTTGATGAAGTCTTACAACCCGGTCAACCAGGTTGCCTATGCATCAGACTACACCCAACCTGTATGTTCGTCACACAGTGGTTTGACGACATGTGTGTAGTGATTGCGATATAAGAACGGTTGAACAACTGGAGTCTTCTTGTATCTTCTTTCCCAAATGATCATGTTTGATGAACGCAGTGTAACAAACAGTTCTACGTGATGTGGAATGAATGTTGTCGACCCTTAGTAGGCAATCCGAATAATGATACTCAATACAGATGGTGCGATTTGGCAGGATTCAATGAAAGTCTTCGTATCTGTGCAGACATTTCGTGGTCTACCTAGATATGAGTGCTGATATGACTTGACAAATACTTGGGGTGGTCAACGCACTGAACCATTTCACCGTATACTGTCTGACGAGATATCAACGTAGGTTTGCCTAAAATCAGTGAAGTGGATTTTGATGATGATGTTGTCCATTCGCAAGTGGACTTGTCCACTCATCCAGAAGAAGCTTGATGCCATCTTCAGTCTGCTGTAAAAGCAGCGCTGAAGACTGTAACCGACTCCAAAATAGTGGCTATAAGGAGCCATTGGATATCAGCAGCTTCTTCCGAAATAATGGATGTACGTGAACGCATCCCTGCAGGCTCTGAGTACAATGAAGAGCAAGGGCAACTAGAAAGTAGACTAGAAAAAGTCTACGCAACGATCGTGGACAGTGGTGGGCAGCGAAGGCTAAAGAGATGGAAAAGGCAGAGGCGATCGGTAATAGTAGACAGTTATTTAGACTTATTAAGGAGACTGGGGGGAAAAGATCAACAACAGTTAGTGAGGCTATAGCGGAGAAGGACGGATCTGCGATTCACTCGCAGGGGAGACGACTGGAACGATAGGCAGGACACTTCGAGGAACAGTTCAACTGGCCTCCAGCCACGATTGCGTTGCCCGCTATCCAATCGGATCCTGAATGGGACATAGAGATAGGTCCCTCAACACTAGTAGAAGTTGAGAAAGCGGTAGGTAACCTGGAACAAGGAGGAGCAGCAGGACCAGACGAACTACCTGCTGAGGTATACAAGGATGCTGGTAAGGTGCTCTTAGTCAAGATAACGGAAGTGTTAGCTAGTGTATGTGAATGAAATACGATCCCCTCCGACTGATCTGAATAGCTGATTATCCCAGTCTTTAAGAAAAGTTAGAGGTCGTCTTGTGATAACCACAGAGGAATCAGCCTGACGAACATAGTGTCTAAGATCCTAGGTTCTATAATTCTCCGACTCCTGAGTGGAGCTCGGGAACAACAAGCCCGAGAAAACCAGGCAGGCAGGCTTTAGACCTGGCCGTGGATGTATCGACCAAATATTCACACTACGCCGGGCCCTGGAACATAGGCACGCTTACAGACGCCTGACGATAGCTGTATTTCTCGACCTGAAGGCGGCATTTGACTCCGCTGATCGAGAAGCCTCTCACTGAAAAGTGTGCCCAGTAATTACATCACCTTATTGAAAGCTGTCTACTCGAACACTTGCGGACATGTAAGAGCCTATGGCGAGTTGTCCAGGGAGCTATGCTCATCGAGTGGTGTCCGTCAAGGATGCCCACTATCCCCATTCTTATTTAATTTTATCATAGATATTCTTATGGAGGTTTCCCTCTCGTCACCTGATTACACAGACGTTGACCCGATCACAGGTGAATTTTCTTTAAATCTAGAATATGCAGATGACATAGTCCTGTTAGGTGGAGACGCTGACAAGATACAGAGTCTTCTGAGAACTTTGGGTGGGAATTTGAGAATGTTTGGAATGCGTTTCTCACCTCCCAAATGCAAATTGTTGCTCCGGAACTGGCGCCCCGGCTAACAATAGAGAGTGAAGTGGTTGAGTGTGTTGACCACTTCACTTACTTGGGAAGTAGGATCAGCCGTGGTGGCTCAGTGGCTGATGAAATCTCTGTACGATACAAGAGTCTCAATCGGCTTTTGCCAATTTATGCCACCTGTGGCGTCGCCGTGATATCCAGTTGTCTATAAAGGTTCGCGTGTTCTGCACAGCAGTCCGGTCTGTTCAACTGTATGGCTGTGAAACATGGCCATTGAAAGTGGGAGGCATGAGAAGGCTGGCTTCAGGTATTTGACCACCGTTGACTTCGTATTATAGGCCGTATTCCGTGGTGTCACCACATGAGTAACTCAGACGTCAGGAGTAGAGTTTTAGGGAGTAGAGGTAAATCAGTTGACGAGATTATGAACCTTCATCGATTAAGATGGTTGGGACACGTACTACGTAAGCCTAGTCGCCGATTGCCTTGTCACACAATGGTGGCCGAAGTAGGTCCAGACTGGAAAAGTGCCCGAGGTGGCCAGACTAAAACAAGGCACCGATGTATGAAGTCGTTGACTGTTGGTTTGTGCCGTGTAGGGCGATGCAGACTAGATGGTTGGGGTCTGTGGGACAAGAGAAACCGGTGGTTGGAGACTCTAGGTGATATGGGTCAGAACCGATGTCAGTGGGGCAGATGTGTACACACAGTATCCTTATCTAAACGATGCTATGCCGAATCTCACCATTTCCTTATTCTTCCTTTCTCTCTTTTCGTACTTTATATTTCTTTTGACTGAATTTCCTTATCTCCATCTTGGAGTTCACTGCCTTTTTACTTGATGTGGTGATGTGAGGTGTGGCAACTCGGACCGTTACGCAGTAATACCTGGTCCGATGTTCATATTGATTGATTGAAGCTACGTATCTTGCTAGCATTCTTATGTTACAAGTTTACATGGTTTATGTACACTCACAGAATAGGCGTGAAGCATTGCCTTGTGCATGAATATAGACAAGGTTGCTGATTGCTTTTCGATTTCGGTTCGAACCCATTAATGGGTGTCTTGCGACAGTCTGAATTTTTCTAGTCAGACGAGGAGAGGGAGAGAGAGAGAGAGGTCTCCATAGACACATGCATGATAAATTGAGCAGATATGCGTGACAGAAACTACTTGACTTAGACAGTTTATGTGATGGTTTCATTGTGGCCTTCAGCTTTGTGGGTGTATAGGTTTCAGTAGTGTGACGTGCTTACCGAGCATCTGTTTCATTGAGTATGATAATAATGTAATAGTTGTTAGTGGATTGTCTGAATGTCACCTTCAGATGAAGAAGTAGATCTATTTTAAGTGTGTCTGTGTTGTTGAGGTTGAAGACGTGTTCAATAAACCTGAGTTCAGATGTGATTCGGGTTTTGTTTTCGCATGTTTTTAAAAATTGTGAAGCTTCACTTAAGTGCACTGTTATAGTCGAACCTGGAATCTGAGATATCATGATTGTCAGAGTGATTTGTGTGTGGTTGTATCAGAAGGGGATTTCTTAGCTGTTTGGGAAATTTTGACTGTCGATGGGTGCATCCAGTCAGAAAGAATCATGTCGAATGGATATACACCAACCTACACCTGTCTCTCATTAATAATCCTAGGTATCATTCTGATATAACTCCGTAACAAGCTAATTAAGACCCAATGCCCTTCACCGTTTCAGGTCACCTGCACCCTTCGCAACTTCCTGAGGATTTTAACATCGCTGTCTTCTTCATCAATTTTGCTTGCATCAATGTTCATAGTCATTGCATAGACTCTTCTGTCTGTCTACATTTGAGCTGCTCCCCTTCAGCTAGGAGGCTGCTTTACTGTGTTCACGTACATTCTTTAACTTAAACGAAGCACCTGAGATCTCCTGTTCCTTTGTTATATTTTTTTTTGGAGGTCAGTGTCTGTATACGCCGTTATTTTTACAGCAGATCTCAAATATTGCTGCATTTCAAGATGGTTGACATTTTTGTCTCTCATTAAGTGTTTGGAGACTTCTATTGCGAAAGCATCCTTGGAACTGCCATCACGGATCTGAGTTTGAAAAAGTCTTCCAGTTTTAGTTCTTCTACATACGTACAGTCACAGACATACGCATGTAGGAGCCAATACATAGGAACTACCAAAACATGCTACCTATAAGTAGTGATGGTCCTCTCCAGCTGTAACCGGTATTGTTACGGCTTATCTGTGCGTACCTTTGAGCTGAGGTTGGTACCTGTAGAGTAGAAAGTATCTCTCCTCGTTTCTGCAATTCCGCTGGCTACAAGCAGGTATGCTTGTGTGTAGTTGTAACAAATGGTGATCAATATCACTTCACTTTAGGTTATAGCTCTACCTGCAACACTATGAAAACTAGCTCAGTATTGTTTACATACTTAAGGACTGAATTTTGAAAAGTCACGAC